TGATTTTGAACCGATGAGCCGATTTTAAGGCCGCCGCACACCTACATCGCTTCATCGCTTCATCTCTTCATCGTTTGTAAAATCGGCTGGTGTGCGGCACCCTTTAGTAGCCTCTAAAGAAAAAAAAGGCCGGGATAAAAATGTAATTTCTGAAATTCCAATGACGAAAAAGCGATCGGAAATGTGAAAGGTGTTCAGAGTTGTACTTAAAACCTGTAAAACACGTGTGCAAATCCCTGTAAAACGTGTGCAAATCCCTGTAAAATTGCTGCGTATGCACATACATATATATATATGCATTTAACAACGACCCTCTTGACAAGACATGCCGATAACCATATTTCAATTATGGTAACAGTATATGTTGACTATGTAGAGTATAAAACAAGTGTGCAGGCAGTCACGTGTGATGATTTTTGTGTGTATGTAGTGCGTTTTCTAAGATTGTCGTTATCGTTTATTAATCCCTCTAGTTTAGAGTTGTTTACATATTATATACTGCGTGTAAACTGCGTGATGTCGGATGTACCATGAAACATCGCCAATAGTTAGTTAGGGATGATAATAACGTAATATCGTTAATTCAGACGTTAAAAAAAATCTTGTTTGATCGTGTTCGTTTTCATTTCTTGTAGTTTTGCTTTCCCCCCACCCCCCGAGTAATGATCCTAATCGATTCGACCCCATGCACAAGTTCTATTGCGCGAAAAGACAAAAATGCAATATTCAGTATGCTAGGCAATATTCGAGATGTTTCAGTAGTTTGTGTTTAATGTGTCTTTCGGAAGCAATCCCGCATAATGTGATGAGGGGTGATGGCAAAGCAGTCATGAGCCAGTAATGTCCTCCGCGACTTTTACTCGCGCCATAATAAATCGACAAGTGTTGTTTCAATACCATTCCCGTGATTGAACTTTTTATCAAGTATATGATGAAACTCGAGGCTATGTACACAACGATCAACGAAACCTCGACACCCACCTGCATCTACTGTCACAACTAAATCGATTGAATCCCCGGCTTTCAACAGATTGTAGTTGCAGCTACAGCTTGGGAGTAAGCGAAAACAAAAGGACGTGAATTCACTGTCGAGGAAAATTGTGTTTTAAGCGACTTTTGTTCAGCGTTGTCGGGAAGACCTGGTCAACCTGTGTGGCGCAAAGAACCACTTCCTAGTCGCCCGTACGCAAGAGGAGTTGTGATATTTTCACTCTACAGTTCGCTACATACTTTCACAGTGGCTTTCACTATGTGTGCAAGCCATCGCTAAACCACTCAAGTAATAAGAGGGACTGCCCGGGGGTTAATTTAATTGCACCATGTCCTGACATGTGCCAAGCTTCTACTACATGCCTCTACACCTACCACACCTCGACTTCGCTTCTCCCTAACTAAAAAAAAGACAGCTCCCTCCCCTCGCGCGATTCGAGAAACCAATGTAGCGCCCCCTGGCGGTCGCGTTTACGGTCCTCGGGTGTTGCGTGGCGCCCCCTGTCGGCGCTCACGTCTGCCGCGTGTCGTTGGCGACTTCTTCAATCTCGTCCGCTATCTTCTTCTTTCCGAGGCCGGCGTCGCCGTTGACGACGCGCCGTATCTCGGCAACCAGCTCCTCGTCCTCGTCGTCTGCCGCGCGGTTACCTGTGACGCGTGGGAAAACAAGAGAACGCTGGTGGTTGGTACACTTCTGACGTTAGGGGGGGGGTAACCTTTTTCGGGCTGTGACCCCGATTCTTGATTAGCAACCCCAGTTGTTTTTCGTGGGGAGAGCAGAGGAACATAAGTGCCGGGGCGCCCGTTGTCGGAAACAAAATCGGTCATCCGACATTAGTGTCAACAACATTTAACTTTTACGCCTAGACCGCTGACAGAATTTCCAATTTACGCGAAGTAACGAAGAAACTCGCTGTTTTTTTTTCATTCTCGTAGATTTACGATGTTTCTATCTCAACGGTCCACGCGAAAAAGTTAAAACCAATGTTAAGAACTAATCTTTCGGTTTCTAACGACCGGCCCCAAGTCTCAGGTGTTGCTCAGCAAGCAAGCAGGTTGGTCCACTTATGGACTAAAGGATAAATCTTGGATTTATTTTGACTTTTTTTTGGACTAAGGATGTATTTTTTGACGACTGGCGCGGCCTGCTGCTGGACTACAGGATAAACTCGCTCATCATCGATGATCACGCTACGTTTCTCACCGGTTTCTGTCTGTACGATGCCGTTCACGGTTCCCGTCGAGTCCTTGTCGAGTTCGGCGAACGCCAGCAGTAGCGCCCTCTGCTTCTCATCCAGCTTGCTGTAACGATGAACGAGCAAAGCGCTCAGAATCACAGCGTCGCGACTCGATCGACACGACGTGTTACGACACGGTAAGGAACGTAATTTCGTCGCGTGGCCTTCGTATGATAGAGATGTGACCGTCAATGATCGATTGTTTGTTCACGGATTATTAGAAAGTGGTGTATCAATCACAATTTATCCGAGAAAATATTGCCGATAGGCGGCTGATGGGCAATTATGCTTTACGATGCGTAAAATTATGTATCGGAAAAAAACCTTTAACAAATCGTAAAGAAACTGCCAACAAATGGGAACAAAATACTGGGGAATGACTGAAATTAACTTCACGAGATCGTTCACGAATTAACTTAACTTACAGAGTTACTTCCGCCACTTAAAGCGTTCATCGATCCTTAGTTCATGCCACTGACGTGTCAACAGGTTGCCAAGATCAAAGCAAGTACAGTGGCGACCAACCACAAAAGAACGAGAATCGATGTCATTGTCATGTCGATTGTTATTTTAATCGAACGGAATCGACTGGCAACAAGTGGAGCACTCACGTTGGGACCTTCACTTTGATGTGGACGTAGTGATCGCCGAATCCGTGACTGTTCACTCTCGCTATGCCCTTATTAGCCAGCCTCACTCGCACGTGAGAGGATGTACCGGGCGAAATCTGCACGCCAACGACAACCGAGTTTTACTCATCGATTCATTCGTTACAAGACGCTTAACACGCAAGCTTGAGGCAAACTTAGACGCAAGCTTAAGACGCGAGCTTAAGATGAAAGCTTAACATGCAAGCTTAACACGCAGGTTAACATGCAAGCTTGAGACGCACGCTTAAGATGCAAGCTTAAGTCGCAAGCTTAAGACGCAAGCTTAAGTCGCAAGCTTAAGACAGCAAATTGGCTCGAGTGTATTATTAGCAAGACAGTGCTACCGTAGAACACATCACCGAACGGAATAAACTCTGCTAGGACGACGATCACTCGTACGCACTTACCGCTAGGTTAACGTCTTCGTAGAGACCCTGCACGCGCACGCTGCCTCCCAGGATGGCCTGCGCGACACCGATGACGGCGTCAGTGTGTACATCAGCGCCGTCGCGACGAAAGTAGTCGCTGCGCTGGACTCGGAACGTGATGAAGATCTCCTTCTTACCGATCGGCATGCGCACCGTCTGTCCGTCGTCCACACCTGCCGTCAAACGAAAACAAGTGGCAGCGGTTTTAACGTCCCCGGTCACGGATAGAAGAACTGCACAACATCGTCGTCCACTCAAACCCTCTCGGTTTCGCACTAGGTGTCTATTATTAATTTGTTTTAGTTTTTGGTGTCGCCCATCGCCGCGAAATGGCAAGGGATTTGACGATAAGAGGCTTACAGTCACAGCCAAGAGCATGTCACGTCGACCCGGCCCGAGAAGTGGAAGCGATAGCAAGGTGGCTATTGGCATTTATACTATGTATAGTTTATATATATATATAATTTATATTATACATTTATACTGTTTTTATCATCATTTTATCATTAATTATTTCTTCAGAGGAACGTTGACGGGTAAAAGTTAGACGCGACGGACGACGGTACTAGACTGCCGCCCGCGCGACCGCCGGGCGGTGGGGCCACTCACCGGCGGGCACGGGAACGGTGACCAGTCTTCCTCTGCAATGGTCGAGCCACGGCCCTGACACGTCTGACACGGGTGCCGGCAATGCTGGGTGGTGGCCTGGCAACGACGACACGTGCTCTGCATCACAAACGGACCCGTACTCACCGTTTCCTGAAGCAGAACAGAGCGCGGCGAATGACGACAAGTGAACAGGTAATTGCGATAACCGCAGGGTTTCGTGTCAGAATCTATAATCTTAATTCAACAAATCGATGTCAATGATCAAGGTCAACGATCAGCATCAATGTCAACGATCAACATTAATGTCAATAATCAACTTAATGTCAACATTCGACATGAACAACAACAATCAGCAATCAATCTAAGTCAACGATCAACTATCCAACATCAACGAATCAGCATTCACGATCACGTCAACGATGTCAGAAACGCGTAACATCTACACAACGGAGCGTGATGCGGCGGGGCGTGACGAGGCGTAGCGGGGCGTGACGCGGCGGGGCGTGATGTGACGGAGGCGGTTACCATTCCCGTGCCTTTGCACTGCGGGCATGCTCGACCTTTGTTCCCGAGGCGGCGGCGCGAGCCCTTACACGTCGCACACGTGTGTCCAACAACGTTGAGCGTGATGTCCACGGTTGACGCCGCGGGCCGCCTGCTGGAAGCTGAGACTCATCGTCATCTGTGGAACGTGAGAGCGTCGGGTTAGTACGACTGTATTCAGTTCTAGTTTTTATTAACAACGTCTATACTAGATTGTTGCATTATGTATATTATGCTATTATGTTTATGTGTATAACAATTTTATAAGTTGCCAATCATACTAGATTGTTACATCATGTATATTATGTATGTCATGTAAAACAGTTTTATACGTTGCATATATATTATATTGTTACATTTATGTATAACATTACATTACATTACGTTACTTACATCTGAAAATGTTTTATCATCTTTTAGGATACTTCTCACCTGTTGCGACTACATGTATTGGTACTGATAAAACTGGCTACTTATCACTAACATCACAAAGCAGTTTGGTCTCACAGTTCTCAAAATCAAATCAAGGTACTTTCATTGATTCTGCACTTCACAACACAGCTTCTAGACTACATTAAGATTTTACATGCCAAACACAGGACTCGTTATAACTATCCCAGCTCGATTAGATACGATTGCTTTCGATGAGGGGCTGTTCCCTCTATCGCAGCCAACCTGCTGTGAAGGCCCATCCGCAAGCCGTAGTTCGAGAACGGATCCCTGCTGCTGCTGGAAGCCCCTGGCCCGCCGCCCCGCTGACCTCCGAATCCGAGGTCGCCGAATATCTTCCTAAGAGCTCCTCCGGGTCGATGCTCGACTGAATCCCTGGAAGCCTCGCGGTCCGCGCCGGCACCGGCTCCGAAGTCCCCTGCGAGCCCACGTGTCGTACTGCTTCCGCTTGCTCGCTTCGCCGAGTATCTGAGGAACAAGAGACGTGCGGCCGGTGAACGACTGCCTACGTCCCGGGATCAAAATGAAATTTGTTTTCGCAAGTGAGTAGAGGATTTAACTTTGTAAGTGCTTACTGCCAGAGGAAAAAGGCAAGCAGCAAATTTAATCACCAGGCAGAATCTTTGGAGCTTATACTACCTGCTCATAGGTCTATGTCCCCCAGGGTACTGCCGGAAGCCACCCTGGGTACGTTCCGTACCCTGGTAACTATTTGATATGGTTAGGGTTAGGGTTAGGGAGTAGGCGTAGGCGACTCCCTAGACTCGTTAGTGGAGTAGGCGAGGTACGGTCCGGCTTATTAGATAGTACCAGGTACGTTCGCGGTATACCGGTCTGTACCCAGGGTACGTCCGCCTGTACCCTGGGGGACATAGAGTCTACCCTCTCAGCTATACTAGGTGTATAGGGAATTTCTCGGCAGCAAGAAGTATTTGCACCAGCATTGGGATCAGGCAGCAAACTGACCCCATGTAGGCAGCAAAACTGATATGATAAATGCTGGCCCAAGACTCATCCACTGAACGGCTATACCTCATCATTAAATAGCTAGCCGTTTGCTATCAGCAAACAGATATAAGCTATCATCCTACAGTTGTATGATAGCTATCACCTGCCATCGATGGTAACCTGGATGACGTAATTACCTCGTACGCTTCTGATACTTCCTTGAATTTTCGAGAGGCATCTGGATCGTTTTTCGATGTGTCTGGATGGTATTTTTTAGCTAGCTGGAAAAGAAATGTGCGAAAACCACAGGTAGAAGGCATGGTCAGTCATTGGTTGGGGATAATTTGGGAGGGAGATTCATTACGATGATGCATACACATTTGAACAACTTTATATTGTTGTCCAGCAAGATGGTTGAACAAACTGGTTGTGTGTTACTCAATTGCATTGCAATATTGTAATGTATGAACAATCTACTTTTACATGATTGGAACTATATATCTAGATTCTAGAGTGTTATATAGAAATTGGGAAACAATTAACATGAAATGTAACTTGTAACTAAATCTGTAACTGAATCCATACTTCATAATATGCTTTTTTAACATCTTTCTGCGGGGCATTTTTAGGAACGCCAAGAATTTTGTAGAAGTCTTTCTGTGATTTATATCCGGATCCGTGAAACGTCGTCGAGAAATGCTGCCACTTGTTGTGTGAAAACCTCTCTGAAAGATCAAAATAATAACCTGTGGATTACCTCTAAGTAAATCTGCATGGAGTCGGACCGAGGTACTTAGAAATGTTGAGATGGTCTAATGTCCCCCAGGGTACTGCCGGAACGTACCCTGGTACTATCTAATATGCCGGACCATACATCGGCTACTCCACTAACGAGTCTAGGGAGTCGCCTACGCCTACTCCGTAACCCTAACCATATCCAGATAGTTACCAGGTACGTTCCGGTATACGGACCGTACCCAGGGTACGTTCGGCAGTACCCTGGGGGACATAGACCTTATGAGGCTGTAAGGATTCGACTAACAGGCTCTCGACCCGCCAGAAATCCACGGAAGCCAGGCAAGGCCACGGGCCTGCCGTCCAATTATATAAGGACCCGCTGGGATCCAACTGATTGGTCTTCATTTACCAACCGCACCAGATGACCAACCGACGTAGAGGATCCAAACCCTTACAAGCTATGAGCCTTAATAAATGCAATGGATCCTAGACCTAATGTGGTAATCGGTTACCCACACGCCGTGACGGCATGCGGGTAAGCTTAGGGTGAACTGGGTTCGAGTGCACTCTGTGGATAAAAACAAAACTCTGCAGAACCCAGGGCTACCTTCACCTGCTCATGCAACGTGTGAACAGCCGTTACGCAGAAAGTTTTTTTTCCTTCATTGACATTAGATTTCATAGATTGTGTGTGTATTAATCTATTAATAAAAGTAATTAATAGTATTACTCACTTGAGTAATACGTATTAATATTATCAAGAGCGTATAAAGCAATTTCTTATACGCCTCTGATATAATATTATACAAATACAATAAGGGTACATTGCACATGTCACGACGCCATCACATTAAGAAATATCCGGATCACGCATGAACTGCAAACATCGTCGGTGCCAGCAGACTACTCCTGAGTCCCAATACATTTCCTTGGCTGTAACTCTGAGCACGGGTTCTGACTAAAATGACTGAAAACGACTTTAATTTGTTGCTAATCAAAGTTCTAGTACTTTGCACGGCCGCTGCCATGTTGGAACCGACGACGTGTTACAACCGGTCACCCAGCACATGACGTACAATTCCTCCACGGTGGGTAACCGCACGGGCTACACCGTGCAATAGATAGCACCGACACAGAAATTAATTAAAAAGATATAATAATAAGAGTCAAGATTCAGTGCATAAGTCAAACGGAAATAAATTCGATAGAACACGATGCATTACAATGTCTTGCACATATTTTATTAATCACAAACACAACTATATACCTATATATATATATATGGCCCATATATGGACGACACGTGTGGCGCGGGAAACGTTTTCGGCTAGAGTTTCATTTGTTTTATTGGTTATATATATATGTTTAGTTATTACATATACTAGTCCTTGCCCGTTAGCCTAGGTGGTGAGAACTTCTGTGTAGACCACATTGTTCATGACGGAACGTTTACTTGTGTTCTTGGCGTCTACAGCTAGAATCTTTAGCTGTCGGGCACTTCCCATGCGGCTAACAGTGACGTACGTAGAACTGGCCGTGATCGACTGAAGAAGTCTTTGACCGTGTAGACGCCGACACGGTGAAGGGACTCACCTTGTGACTTGTTGACTGTCATCGCAAAGCAAGGGCGGATTGGAAACTGGCGACGTATCATGGTGAAAGGAAAGATCTTGTCACTCGGCGAAATGGAGATGCGCGGAATGAGCAGCTGTCGACCAGCATAGACTCCAGACACTAACTCAGCGACGATCAGATGGGGCAGCAGCTGCCTAACTATATGTACCGGGAGCTGTTACTGTGGCCATGAATCTGATCGAAGTTTCTCAGGAGCATGATCGATAATCATACCGATTTTCAGAGATATCCGATGAGGTGGCATATATGCCTGTTCACGCAAGCCGTGATGCCTTGGCGACCATTCTGACGTTGTGACAGCTGACGGTGGTATCCATATATGAACCTTCAGGTAGGAGGAGAACATAGGAGAGTGGATCATATAGTCGATGAAGGGCGTCAATTTCTCTCTTTCCTCCTCCGCGTAGCTGCAGTAACACATCCAAAGGGTGGAATTGTTGACTTTCAGTTCCACCAGGCAATATGGCAGCAATGTCTGATCCAGTTGGTAGGTTCATGGTACCTCGATGGATGCCTTGTGGACGTCCCCTCTCTGTTAGGTATATCTTAACCTCCTCAGGGGCAGCCAAATCACTCACATACTCCACGACGGACTTGAACTCTTTGATGAGAGGGTTACAATTATGCAACACCTCCTGTGCCTTCAGCAGAAGGCACTCATTGAGATGGCTGTTTGTGTGGTGTGCACGACGATTGTGGAGTTCATGGTCGGGATCGTGGAAATATATTTGTGCAAAGGTTGGTACAGGTTGTGGTTGTCCTGGCTGTGGCTGATCTGGGAGTAACGGCCCAATGAGGTGATACGCTTTACCTTGTATTCTGACTCCCGGGTTCCAGCCGCCACCTTTCTGAGTTACCTCTGTCATTCCAATTGACGTCATAGCTAAGGCATTGTTATAGTTGCGGGAGTTCTGAATAAAGGACCGGTTAAGAAATAACTTCTGGATTGATTGGGGTGGCTGAGGGGAGATGGTGCCTGGTTTGGGACCTGCAGCGTTGTATTGAAGTGCTACACGACCACTGCTACAACAGAAACCTTTGCGTTCCTCTGTCCAGGTGTAGGCATTGCAGTAAGGACACGTGGGACAGTCGAATATGCTTGTCTTACTGAGGGAGTGTCGAATATCGGTGTAGAGATCTTCATCAAAACAGTCAATACCGCCGCAGCAAGCAATACCTTTGTTGGTAGTCCTTGCCTCCTCGGCGCGTCTTCGGTGAAGGTCCTTGTCTTTCAGTTGGCGATCTCTTCTCTCCTGATCAGTCTCTGCAGCACGCGATTGCTGCATGAATTTCCGGTTTCTGGAACGGCGTTGCTCTGAATGGAACCATAATTAAGGAATATAATATTACGCAATGCTTAGGTGTCGACATAAACAAAGTATGGTGTAAATAATTAATTGAATATATCATGTGTCTTGTCTTAAGGCTTGAAAATGCGTACCTGTAGCCTGTATCGTCTCTGCAGCGCGCGATTTCTGCATGGATTTCCGGTTTCTGGAACGGCGTTGCTCTGAATGGAACCATAATTAATGGAATGTAAGTAATGGTATTGGTAACTCAAAATAATACACACACACATACACACACACACACACGCGCGCGCGCGCGCGCACACGCACGCACACACACACACACACACACACACACACACACACACACACACACACACACAC